ACCATTGATCACACAGCCTCTCCTTTTGGCATCCGTTCAAATTGTACTTTTCGCAAACCTTTCTGGGTTCCATCTGAACCCTGCCAGGCTGGAAGAGCATCAATTTGGGTGTGGCTCAAAATTAAAGACCTAGGGATACGCCGTTTTTAGTCTTATCCATTTAGCAAGGGCCATTGTACATGTTTTTGAGCAGGCATGTGTCAAACCAATCTAAGCCCTGGGTGATAAAAAAACTAAAAAAAAAAAACGTACATGTTGAGCCACAGGCATTTGTCAAACCCAATCTAAGCCCTTGAGACAAAGACGCATCCTCAGCTCAGGAGTCCTGCCTTCTTGCCCTGGGCATCTTGGCCAACGTGGACAGCGACGACAGCGGCTGTGAGGAGATGGACGTGCACGAGTGCGCCACCTGGAAGCCGGCGCATTTCACCGGGACGCCCGGACGCATCGCCGAAAAAAAACAGCTGGCTGTGGGTCAAAGGTCAAAGCCGTTGTGGGATCCCATTTTGGGCTCTCTCTTTTTTTTGGGGGGGGGGGGCGCACCCATTTTAGAATTCCTATTTTAGTGCGGATTGGGATGTTCACTGGGGGGGAACCGGGATTTTGACCCATGGCCAGTTCAGCGGATGTCGCGCTCAGTGGCTTTGGCGTCTCGACTCTGCAAAGTTAAGTATGGGAGCCCAATTGCCAAGGTCATGTCCTACCTTTCTGGAGTCAGGTCTTGGGAAGATCATTTTCGCAGATGTAAAGTTTAGACTTGTCTAGGATGTGAGTCATAGTCAAAACCCGGCGTTAAACTAGTCTACCCAGAGCAGTTTTTGCTCTGGGGGCAACCAGCAGGAAGAGGTGTTTGTAGGTTTTTGTGGGGAACCAACAAATCCATGCTGGCGTCCCCAAATGCTTTTTGACGCACAAAGGAACGAGACCTTCAACGGCCTTCACGAGGAGCAGGGTGAGCTGGCGCCCCGACGGCACAGAGCCGCACGAAGAGCAGCCAGGCGAAGAGCCCAGCAAGCAAGCAAACAACGTGTAATGCGAAACTGGAAAAAGGAAAGACATGACCCAGTTGTCCGGTGACCTCTCTCTCTCTCTCTATTTTTCTCTTTTCTCCTGCTTCTCTCTCTCTCTCTATCTCTCTCTGTGGTTTTTGTTTTGGAGAATTCAAACATGCGACAAGAAGGCTGTCCAGTGGCAGCCCTGTGTGTTTGAAATCAACAGCCTGATCCGATTTTTCATCTTATCGGAAGCCACTGGTCAACCTTCCGCCGCAGCAAGTCCCTGTTGGCAGAGTCGGACCACGCCCGGAGCATGTCGCTTGGCCCCAAGCCAACCTTGCGACCTTTGGATGGAGCAAGGTTGGTCTACGTTCAGACATGGCTGTGGGTCAAAACCAATGTGATCCCATTTTGGGGTAGGTGCACCACCGGTTTTAGAACCGATTTTAGTGGTTATTGGGATGTTCACTGGGGGGATTTTGACCCATGGCCACATGGTCGCGAAAACTGTCCAGCGCCTGTGGACCACTTCCACTTCCTCGAAGGAAACGAGTCACAAGGAAGGCTTCTGCCACGACCCTGTGTCGGTTTGAGGGGGGAACCAATATAGTCACCAACTCTTGACTGCTATTGGGTTGGATCTTTAGACTTTACTTTTGGGTTGAAATCAGGGGGTTTTCCACTAAACCCCAACAAAAGTGTTTCACTTTTTGCGGGGGGGTCAAAAGCAACCAAGAACTGGTTGGAGAGATGTTTTCTTTGCTGAGCTTCTGGGGACACTTCCAGTTATGAGACACATTCTAAGGGTACCTTCCATGTCCATTCTGAACCCAGGGATCCGGATCTTTCTAGCAAACCTCCAGAAACTCCAGGTTGAAAACGGATCTGGTTATTGAAAAGAACGATGGTTGAAAAGAATGGTTGGAATCAGCCCCTAGAAAAATATTTGGGCAGGCCACGGAGGACTGACTCGAACATGGAACCCCAAAAATAACCATCTTTGAAATCGCTTTTGGGGTACCCTCTGGGGATGCATGCTACGGGATGAAAGTAGATGTCAATATGCCCTTGATGTCCACAAAGAGGATGATAACACCTACATGAGGTTGAGATTCTGCCATCTACTTGCACCCAACCGTGACTTGTAGACGAAGCTTCCCACCCAAATTAGCCAGGGCTCCCATATGGGACTTTCTTTAGCCCCCCTCCCAAAAGAAAAGACACATAGTGGTTTCCCTCTTGGTTTCCCCTTTGAAGCCCACACAAAAGAGAAAACCGCTCTAAAAACCAACAACCCCAAAGCAGCCGTGGCTCAGGTGGCGATCACTCAAGTCATGGCCAGGGAGTTGAAGGAGAGGGTGCCAAGTCCTGGTTCAAAAGGGAATCGGTTGGAATGCCGCCCTGGAGGGGTTCTTTTTATAGGCTAGGTCCCCCAGCGATTGGTACTTGGAGGACCTAGTGGATCTCAAATGGACTTTGCCAGCAATATGAACCATCCCTTTTGGCTTCCTTGACGGAAATTGCCACGCTTCCCAAAACCCCTCCAACGCTTCCCTGCGAAATTGGCAAGTCGTGGCTTGAGTCGGCAGATCCGAGCCCGCGCATTTTGTTCCTCGTGGTTGGGGGTTGGGGGTGCGGGGTTGGGAGGTGATTAGACTTCTTGGTGGTTGTTCGAGTTTGCCCAGCCAGGTTCCAGAGGGGCCATTGGTTGCTCCACAGTCAAGCCCTGTTTGAACATGACTACTACAGCAACCAGCATTGTGTTTTGCGGGGATCATTTCTGCCACCCATTGGAGGTCGACCCATAGCCACCTGGCCGCAGGACCATTTCATTTTTAGCTTCGACGACCGCATCGTCACCGCTCCGATGATCTGGGGGGGCTATGCCAGCGATGGCTGCATTGTGGGTGTGCTGAGCGCGCGCGTGTGGACCTGAAACCGGGGCGGAAAAAAAAGCACCTGCTGGCAGGGTCCCCAGGTTTTTCCATGAAACCGGTGGCTTTCACACGGCGCCGTGCTTGCCATTTGAAAGTCAGCACTCTCTTGGGGTGGTTTTTGGTTGGACACATCGCCCACTCTCGGTTTGTTCCGGAGCTTGGGATGCTATACGCCTGGGGTGTGTTTGACCCAACAGCACCGACCAGGGGTGAGTCCCAGGGCAAAATCCGATCCCTCGACCCGAGCCGTTGTCGAAATCGTGGGGGAGCCACACCTTTGACTTCATGTGAACAGAAGCGAGCCTTTTCCTTTGGTGATGCGCTCGTGCAAATCTTAAGCTCCATATGCTTCCCGGTGCCGATATCAAATAAGCGAAGTTGGCAATTGCAGCTTGTCACATTGCACTGCTTAACTGCCGACCACCAACGCATTCAAATCCATATTCAAGCCAACACTCTATGCAAGTTCCACGCGTTGGAATCGAGAAGGATCTTGGTTCGGCCATGAGCAATCGAAACAGTTATGAGGGTCAATCGCCATGGCTCTTCGGGTGTTTGAAGTGAAACCCTACATATATATATGTATATGTATATTTTCCGGGCCGTCTATTGAACCCTCACTTGTTCTTTGTGCGAAAAGGAGGCCGGCTTCAGCCCGGGCTTCTCACAATGCATTGCTTTTCCTGAATTTCTGTTTGGACTTGACCACAAAGGGACCTCTTTCGTCAACGCCTTGAAGAACCAGCTTCCCTTTGATTGGCGGCTTGGATTGGTGGTTGGGGATTTGAACCCCTGGATCTTGTAGAGGGTTCATGGGAACCCCCTCCATTTCACCGCCAAACCACAGATTAGAAGTCAGCCGAGAGAAGGCATGGCGAAACATCACCCTTTCTGTGGGTCATGAGCTCATGAAGAGAATCCCCTTGCAGAAGGCGACCCAAGCCCAAGTTTCCACAAGAGAAGGTTCCGGATTGCCGAGCTGCCCAATGAATCAAGCCCAACACACCAGGTGCATCCACTTCGCGCAACAAACTGCACCAATCTGCAAATGAACACTTAAAAAAACAACATTCTGTGCAGTTTCCTTTCAGAGCCTCAGGACTATTCCTACAACCCTTTTGATGCCCCGCTGACAAATGATGCTTTTTGGTCTTACAATAATTCCAAAACTGGAATGATAATTCCCCAAATGACCTACATCATAGGCTTTCACTCGTTTAAGCCCCAGATCAATGAACGCGCTATTACACAAAGAGTTGTCAGTTGGGGACATATTGATGTAGACATAGCGCCTGTCAAAGTTGCTTTGGCCTTGCACCGCCGATGTCACTGGACAGCTTGACATGTACTGCCAGGTCATAAATCTCAACCAGGCATTTAAAGGAGTCTACCCAAAACCAAGTAAATGTGTGTGTGTGTGCAACTTTGGACGACCTCTTTATTTTCTCATGAATGACTGCCACGTGGTTTCCTGATCAGCCCTCATTGTGGCTGTTCTAAGGCCCATTTGCCAACGAACGGATCCGAACCGGCCCCATCAGTTCGCAGAGAGCGATTTTTTCCTCGGCTGGTATTTGACCGAGGCGCCCCTTAGACCTTTCGGAAGCAAATGTGTTTTCACCAAGCCAAGATATGTGCCATGGTCAAAAGGCCGATTCCTTCACGCTGGGTGAACAGGGGCATGGTCATGAATTTAAACAGGGAACCCCCTCAAAAGTGGCTGGTGGGCATAAATCCCCAAAAGTCAGTCCGGGTCCCCAATGAACATTTACACCCACATGGCCATGGTTCAAAACCAATGGCAACACTTTGGGGTAGGTGCATCACCCTTTTTCGTCTTTTTTGGTGTGGATTGGGATGTTCACTGGGGGGTCACCGGGCTTGTGCCCCATGGCCATATCTTGACTAGACTGCTGGGTTGGATCTTTAGACTTCAACTTTTTGGCTGAAATCAAGTTGGGTTTTCCGAAAACTAAACCCACAAAAAGCGTTTCACTTTTTTGCAGAGGGGTCGTTGCAGCAACCCAGATTTCTCCACGCAGGGCTCCATGGGCCACGTGTCCCTCAGGTCATGGTGTCCTGCGGTGCCCGGGGGTCAGAGCTCTATGGGGAGGAGGGTGTGGAGAGCCGGAAGGCCCAGAGGTTCCAAGGCTCCGAGAAGCTCGGTGAGCTCAAGCTCGGTCTCCGAATTTTCTCGTTTTTTTTTTTTTTTTTTTTTTTTTTGCGGGGGGAGAAATAGCATTTGGGGTGTCTTCTTGTTTTTTGTTGTTGCTGTTTTTTTTGCGGGGGGGGGGGGGGGGGAAGGCGAACCAATTGCATTTGGGTGTCTTTTTGGTTTCTCTTTACAACTAACTTCAACCAATACGGGTAGCCTCAACAAAAAGATGCCCATATGCAGTCTCAGACGTGCTCTCTTCCACGATCATGGACCTGTTTGTGCCACGCCAAAGTCTAACTCCAGAGCAACACTTTCTTTGGTTCCCTTTAGATACCCAAGGAAAGAGGAACCAGTTTGAGAAATAATTGTAAACGCTTCGCGTTGCCCGCCTCGGCCCAGCCTAGTTTGAGGGAAGGGTCAGGAACACCGAAATCCAGTGTCGGGAAGGTCCGAATCCTACTGAAAGCTTGTGACCGCACCAGCTCGCCCGTGCTAGTTCGATGTTCGGAAGCCGTCCTGCAGTGCCCTTGGAAAAAAGGACCTCTTTCTGGGGATGAGCATTTTTAGTGGGGCTTGGCCTCCATAATGCGCCGGGGCCTGGGCTGGGCAGGCTGGGCTGAGGTGGGTTGCTGGTTGGGCTGGGCCTGAAGCTAGTCTCAGCCACGAGGCTGCGAAGCCATGGGTGGGTTGCTGGCTGCCGGGCAGCCGGACTACGCTGCTGGTTGCGCCTGGAACTTGGGCTGGGCGGGCTGGGCTGAGCTTGGGCAAGGCCTGTTTCATACACACTTGGGCCTGAGGCTGGGTGGCGAGTTGCTGGCTGGGCTGGGCCTGAGGCCAGTCGCAGACACGTAAGACACGCCAGCAGGCGGGCTGAGGGTCTAGTCTCAGGCTGGCATACTTTGAGACCAGTCTCAGACTGCGCCGAAGGGGCTGGGTTTGCTGGATGAGTTGGGGCCAGACGCAAGCGAGGTCAAGGCCTGGCCAGTTTGGGCTGAGCTGCTTGGGCAGCCGGACTGAGGGGCTGGGAGACCAGTCTCAGACACGTGAGACTGGTATTTGGCCTGAGGCCAGTCTCAGACACGTTAGACAAACCTGGGCACGCTGCGCGAGCTGGTGGGCTGGCTGGGGGCCGGCCTGGTGGCTGGCATGCTTTGAGATGCGCCGGGGCTGGGCCTGAAGCTAGTCTCAGCCACGAGGCTGCGAAGCCATGGGTGGGTTGCTGGCTGCCGGGCAGCCGGACTACGCTGCTGGTTGCGCCTGGAACTTGGGCTGGGCGGGCTGGGCTGAGCTGTGCTTGGGCGGGTTGCTGGATGGGCAAGGCCTGTTTCATACACACTTGGACACGTAAGACACGCCAGCAGGCGGGCTGAGGGACTGGGCCTGAGGCTAGTCTCAGGCTGGCATACTTTGAGACCAGTCTCAGACTTGGGCAGCCGGACTGAGAATCCCTACGTCAGACAGGCTTAGTAGTTGGCGTAGCTTGAGACCAGTCTCAGACACGTGAGACTGGTCGTTGGCCTGAGGCCAGTCTCAGACACGTTAGACAAACCTGACCTTGGCACGCTGGTGTGGGGGCCGGCCTAGTGGCTGGCATGCGCTGAGATGCGCCGGGGCCTGCTGGGCTGGGCTTGCTGGATGACTTGGGGCCGTGCTTGGGCGGGTTGCTGGTTGGGCTAGGCCTGTTTCAGACAAGCTTGGGCCTCGAACCCCGAAAATTTCAAGGCCCGCCGGACAGGATTTTGGGCCAGCCGACATGGTTGGGGGGGGGGGGCGGGCCGGCAAAGCTTTGGTTGGGGGAGGGGAAAAGCGAAGATTCTCTTTGGAGAAGAGATCTGAGCGCCCTTGGCCCCTTTGGGGCCGAGGCGAATTCTTATATGCCCCCGCTTATGTGATGTGAGCAGGGGATGGCAGTCAACCTGGGGATTTAGACCATCATTGCAAAGGGTCCCACTGAGCGAACCATGGTTTTGATGGCGAGGTGTTTGCGTGTGATGGTTGAACGTCCATAGTTGTGTGTAAGGCGAAACCGAATGGACACCAAATCTAGATTCACCAAATCTCTCCACAGGCCTAACTGGCTTCGCACATGCGAGTCGAAATTGACACAAAGATCTTTCTCAAGATTCCCTCTAATTCTCTGAAAGCAACTTCCAAAAGGCAAACCAGCTCTTTTGATAGTATGAGGATATCAACCAAAAAGGCCATAGTGTTCACTATCAATTGATTGAGCTTGGTGATTTGGGTTGAAACATACCAAGAGGCATCGACTGCCATGTTTCGCCAGCTTGATTTGGAGCCCTGTTTTGTTTTTGCGTTTTTTCCTGACTCCAATGTCCAAGACGCTGACTTTGATCTTTTTCGGGAGCTCCCTGAAGTCGGTGGGGTCTCAGAAGACATGACACTGTGAACCCCGAAACCTCAAGTTCCAATGGTGCCGTGGAGAGGAGGCTCTACCGAAATTTCAGGTTGGACATAACCAGAATCTGAGGAACACACGCAAAGTCCGCATCACTGGCCTCAAGGTCTTGGTGCACAAGGCGTAGGTTTTCCTAGAAACTTGGACTTCCAGGTAGACACAAGAAGCAAGCTCGGCTGTCCACTCTAGAGTTGCACTTTTTGCTGGTTTCTTGGAAAGGTTGACTAAATGTGAAGCAGCATCTGAAAGAAGATGTTTTCGCGGTGCAGTGAGGTTGGGCCAAGGAATGCTCGATTGGTCGGCCATATCGGGTTGTCTTGGTGGTTCCCAGCCAGGTTTTTAGCTTTTTGGGGTTAGTGAGGGTGTCCACTAAAAGTTGTAATTTACCACTGTTCTAGGCATGTTCTGGCTTCCTGAAAAGATTCGGACTCCTCGAAAGAATGAGGAAGCTTCCATTAAAACTGTTGATCCTTGGTGTACTTGCATTTGTGTGGCAAAATGTCCCAATTTGTTGGACGCCCCAATGGCTGGCTTCATGTTAGCTTCCTGCGAAAAGCAGACAGGGCAACCCGGGCTCACATCAAATGGCTGCTTTCTTACAGGTTCCGGAGGTCAATCCTTTTCGGATGCGATGCAAACCACCAAAACAGGAGTCAGAACTCGGGGCAAATTTCGTGTACCCTATCATCATGGTGAAAGGGGGTGTCCATGTAAGTGGCTGTAGGCCAAAATTATTAAACAACCAGGGGGACCGCAGATGTTAGTTTATACTTCCATCTACCAGGCTTGAATTTGGGTGCCCATTTTTTTCCGTCCCGCAGCCAAGTGCTTTTTGTTCGGCGGGTTGATGTGGCCTCCCTGCCGCCCAAAACAACCGCCGCGAGGCGCTATCCTCCGGGAGGTCTGGGGCTGCGACGTGCCCATGGCACCTCGGCTTGGAAATCGACCCGGACATCCGCACACTCCCAAGTTTAGAGCCTATTTGGCTGTGGGTCAAAACCAATGTTACCATTTTGGGGCAGGTGCACCACCCATTTTTGAACCTATTTTAGGGGGATTGGGAGATTCACTGGGGGTACGGATTGGGTCAAAACCGTTTTGGGATCCCATTTTGGGGCAGGTGAATTCACAACCCACTGGTCATACAGCTCAGGCGAAGAAAAAGCCACAGCCTGGCGATAGTGATCATTCCCCCGCACCTTTGAAATCAATGTGTTGGCACCTCTGTCACCCGCGTAGATCCCCGCGTCTTGTTTGGCTCAAGTAGACAAGTGGAGTCCCCTTCATAAGTAGCTTGGGGTCCCCATGAAGCAGGGGCACGCCACTCCCAAACCCAAATGGCCATGGGTCAAAATCCAAATCGGTTAGCCCCCAGTGGTTACATCCCAATCCAACCACTAAAATAGGTCCTATGGGTGGTGAATTCACCTACCAACATGGGATCCCAAAACGGTTTTGACAACAGCCAAATTGCAGGCTGAAGTGGAAGGAATACGCCCCCTCGGGCCGGACTAGTTTTTGCCAATCCAAAGGCAAAGGGTGGGTGCGTTTTTGTTAGGGGACCTCGAGTTTGTGGTTTTCCTTGTGGGTTCCCTTCAAAAACCACCACGAAAGGCGCACCAACTCAAAAAACAAAAAAACATGTGCGGGTAAGTGACCCACAACGCCCCAAATCCCACACCTCGGCTGCTATTTGTTTGGATTTTTCCATTTCCAGGATGCCACAAGGGGTTGATATTCTAAAGCAAAAGGGTGTGGGCTGTGTACTTTTCTTTAGCGGAATGGGCTTGCTTTCTCATTCCTGGATGATTTTAACAGCGGAAAGTTATCACAAGCTCACCTGGAGGCAACACCAGCAAACACTCATGAAAGTCCTTTACTCGGGGTTAGCTTCATCCGCTTTGCGAATCTCTGCAAGCTGACATGTAACCCACGAAACCAATGGTTAAACACATCTCCTTTTGCTCTATATATTCAAAAAGGATCCCAGAAAGCTATCAGTAGAGGAGTCTCCTGAGGATCGGACTCCGGTTTTAGACCTCAACGGTATTCTTCCATTTGCTTCAGAATATTTGCTATTTCCCCTTGTTGGTTTAAAAAGGGCATCGATTTCACTACTGGCTGTTTTTTTTAGTACAATATTTATGTTTTTAGTTTTCCTATATTTTTTTCTCCAGGGGACGACAAAGCAAACGGAGGTATTTGCCACGACTCTCCCCTCACAACCCGGCGCCCCGCTTCGCCCCGAGCTCGGCTTCTTCGCCGGCGGCGAGTTCGGGCCCGTGGGGCTGAGGACGGAGTCCGAGGTATCGAAAGGATGGGTGTGCTCGGTGCAAGAAGCCAGTTGCGAAAAACAAAACGCACAACCCCTGGAGAACACCAACAAAAACAGAAAAAGAAAAACACAACTTTACAAGGAAAGCTACCCAATGTTGGTTGGGGGGTTTCCAGCCGCCATCCGGTTGTGAAAGTTATGGAGTCTTTGCCCTGATCTCTGGGGTATGGAAAGGGTTGAGGACCTGCGGTCGTGTGGCTTCGAACCCCATCCGAAAAAACGGATTCAATCGGAGCCGGAGGCGTCAATTCTAGGGGTTGGTTCCCTTGCTGAATTCTTTTCAGGCCTTTTTTCTCTTTTCTTTTTTCTTCTCGAAGCACCAAGTTCTTGTGCTGGTTCTCTCAGGTTCAGATCCCTAGGTTCAGAAGTTGGAAGTTACATTCTCTTTCCTGCGCCCTTTTTCTCGTATGTTTGGACTTGTCAGCTGCTCTTGGGTCTTCGGTATTAGAAGTGCCACAAGCCAACCAAACCTGGATCACCTTTCGCAGGAGGTCAGCAAGAACCCGTGGCCGGCACTGGTGCGATCGGTAGGGAATGAGTTGGAATGAGCCCAGGCTTTGGTCACCTAGGAAACCACCAGGAAGTTGGATGGACTTGTCCAGGGTCAGACTCCATTTCTCATTTCCTTTTCTATCGCACCGATCGCAAGGTAAAGCAAGCCCTTTGAGGATTTCTATACCTTGGGGCCAGGCAGCTGGCCAGGCAAGGAACCTAAATGGGTTTGATGCATCAGCCGAAGGTTGTAATAAAGAGCACCAAGTATCGAGGGAAGTGATCCACTCCTTGGATTCGGGAAGTGTAGATGCTGACTCCAATCCTCAGAAATCTGAATGCCGACACTACGTATGATAACAATGATGAAACAAGCACATCGTGTCGACCCCGGGTGAAGGATGCCCTTTAAAATGGGACATCCCCCCATTTCTCACCCGGGGGTTTGTCAATACTCTGTTAAATTAGCGCACAAGATCGAAGAACACGCACGCACATGTGCGAACTGTGGCTGCCGCTTGGAGCAGACTATGCCCCACTGTGGATGGGATGACCCTCCTCAACATGTCTAGTGGTCTATGGTCTTGAGAGGGACCCGGGACGAGATCTCTACATTTCTCATGCCCCGGGCAACAAATTCATGTTTGGTGTCACTGGCCTCAGTATTTTACCATGATCAAAGTCACTAAGTGGAAACCGTCAAAATAATGACCCCAGTGTCATTGGAAGGAGGACTTTGGTGAATGGAGCATGCCTCATGTCCTGAGCCAGCCATGCAACCGGGGCGGCCGGAGCTCGGCGGAGCTCGGCGAGAGGACCTATGTCCACGGCTACACCACGTCCTGCATGATGATTCGCTCAGGCGAATCGTTGAACTGACGCATGGAATTTGTGATGATCTTAGACTTTGGTGCGTTTTGCCAAGGGATGTTAGGACCTTAACTTTTTGCCAACTAATGGGTTTTCCATTAAACCACTGAAAGTTAAACTTTTGGCAGGGGAGCAGAAAGCAACCGAGTAGAGAATGTTGACCCAGATTAATCAACCCCAATTTAGTAGTGTCGGGGGTGGTTCCCCTCCAAAAGTGGTCCGAATCCCCACTAAACCCAGGGAACCCCCCCCTATCAATAAGTTGGGGTCCATTAATCCGGGGTCAACATTGACAATGCTTGCAATTTGGTAGCGACTTTTGCCAGAGACAGCAAGCTGTCGGCATTTTTGAAGTTGTTGGAGTTGGCTCCGGTTTCCAATTTGGCTCGTAGCTTACATGTAGCCTCGCGCCCTTAACCACGCCAAAGCCGGGCATGCAGAAGAAAAGCCAGGGCTGCATGTGCCAAATTCGAATCCGCAAGAAGGCGCCAACACGCGCCTGTGACTGGCTTTCATAGTGCATTTCTACTTAGACTGTGCTTTTGTCCCTGTGCGCAGCATGGGCCGCCTTTGTTCGCAGAAAGCCATGGCGCTTGTCTTGGGCCTGCAGGCGCGGTGTGGCTTCTCACTCTGGTTTCTTTCCTTGACTTCCAAAGATGTGCTCGTTCTTGAGATCCCATCAGTTTCCTAAAGTGGTCTGCCTGGATCCCGTGGGACTCGCTTTACCCTGCACATGTTCAATATTGTTCAATCGCGTGTTAGTGTGACTGCTTGCTAGGACCCCAGTAGTGATTGGAGATTCTTTGTCTCGCGAGTAACTGCCAAGAATATGCGCTAGTCTACTGTTCGGGCACAAAGTTGTTCATGTGCTGGGTCAAAGCACCCTTTGACCCAGCCGACCTTTTGACCTTTTTCCCTTTTTGGCTCATTTTTAGTCATGTCTGTCCCCAAAAGGTTAATTTTTTTCTTCTGGGTCCGAGCTGGGCAACTGAGCACCCCCTTAGGAAATCTAGACAAACAATGGCAAAGGGCTGACGGCAAACCATGTTTTGACGAGTCGTCAGGTGCTCTTAGCCCTCGCGCACGCGATGCCGGAGGACGTGGTGCGATCATGCAAGGTCTTCTGTCAAGGAGCCGGTGATCGGGCCATCAACTGCTGTGGTTTCAAAAACATCATCTTGGGCGGAGAAGAAAGAAGCATCACCTGGTTGGGCACGGTGATATGTCTTAAGGGGCAATGTGCTTGCGTGTTGTGTGTGTATGTTGTTTCTGTGCTTGTGTCGTGTTTGTGTGCGCGTTTTCTTGTGTGCTTGTGTGCTTGTGTGCTTGTGTTAGCGTGCGTGCGTGCGTGCGTGCGTGCGTGCGTGCGTGCGTGCGTGCGTGCGTGCGTGCGTGCTTGCGTGCGTGCGTGGGTGGGTGGGTGTGTGTGTGTGTGTGTGTGAGTGTGTGTGTGTGTGTGTGTGTGTTTGTGTGTGTGTGTGTGTGGGTGTGTGTGTGTGAATGCGTATGTATGTGTGTACCTGTGTGTGTGTGTGTGCTTGTGTTTGTGTTTGTGTTTGTGTTTGTGATTGTCTTGTCTTTGTATTTGTGTTTGTGTGTTTGTGTGCGTATATGTGCGCGTGCGTGTTCGTGCGTGCGTGTGCGTGCGTGCGTGTGCGTGCGTGCGAGCGCGTGCGTGTGTGTTTGAGAGCGTGTGTGTTTGCGTGTGTGTTTGTGTGCGTTTGTATGTTTGTGTGCGTGCGCGCGTGCGTGTGTGCGTGCGTTCGTGCGTGTGTCCGTGCGCGCGTGCACGGCGTGCACTCGTGCCTTCGTGCGTGCGTGCGTGCGTGTGTGTGTGAGAGAGTGTGTGAGTGTGTGGTGTGTGTGTGAGAGAGTGTGTGAGTGTGTGGTGTGTGTGTGTACATGTGTGTGTGTGTGTGTGTGCGTGCGTCCGTGCGTGCTTGTGTGTGTGAGAGAGAGAGAGAGTGGGGGGGTGTTGGTGTGCGTGCGCGTGGGTGTGTGTGCGTGTGTGTGTGTGTGTGTGTGTGTCGTGCATGGCTTATTTGTGTGCTGTGTGCTTGTGTGCCTGTTTTTGTTTTGCTTGTTGTGTTTGTGTGTGTTAGAGTGTTAGAGTGTTTGTTTCTGTGTTTGTGTGTGTGTGTGCGTATGCCTGCAGGTTTGCATGTGTGTGTGTGTGCTATGCGTATGCGTGTGTCGGGGTGTGCGCCTGCGTGCTGTGTGCTGGTTGTGTGTGTGTGTGTGTGTGTGCGTGTGTGTGTGTGTGTGTGTGTGTGTGTGTGTGTGTGTGTGTGTGTGTGTGTGTGTGTGTGTGTGTGTGTGTGTATATGTGTATGTGTATGTGTATGTGTATGTGTATGTGTGTGTGCTTGTGTGCTTGTGTTGTGTGTTTGCGCGTCTGTGTGTTTGTGTGTCTGCGCAGAAAGAGCTACACTTGGTGCTAAAAACCAGTCTCAGACTACATGAGCAGCGCCCCGAACCCTCATTGAAGCTTCCGGCCCACTATTGTTTTCAAAGCTTGTTGCTTTTAACGAGGGCCCTTAAAATCCCTTCGCGAACTCTTGTTTGCCCAAAGCCGGCCTTTTGACCTTTTGCTTTCCATGTTAGTCAATGTCCCGAAAGGTTATATTTTTATTTCCAGGTCGTTTGGCAAAGTGCTCCACAGAGACCGCTGTTCTGAACTTAGTAAGACGTCAGTTGTGCTTTGGATTGCAGCAAGGTTCTGCAAAAATCGCGCAACCCGAAGATGGTTGGTTTCCCTTTGGTTTCCCTTTAAACCTACCCCAAAAAGGAAGACATACCCAAATGAGGGATGTGCGCGGCGAGAACTTAACGCCATGCGCCGGATTTCTCTTTGTGGCGTTTCCACCCACAAAATAGGTGTGGTCATCTTAACGAGGAGAAACTGGGGACTCCCTGTTGTCATGTCCGTTGGTCGGAGAGCTTTCGCTTGTTTCTTAGAGGACCAAGGAAACCAACCAAAATGAGACAAGGGTTAAGCGACTATGGAAACCAAAGCCAATTGCTAAGGATGGTTTTGTCCCCTATTTTAAGCTTGGTTTGACGTTAGAGATGGCGCTTTCTTTCTGGAAGTCGACAGAACATTTACTGGTATCATTGGTTTCACATTTGCCCGTTTGATAGCATCGTTCATAGTTTGGCAGTTTGGAACGCTCATTCTGTCTGTGAGCTGCGAACAACCTGCATGCATGGTTTTGCTTGCGTGGTGACAGTGCGTTTTGGACATGCTCATTTTGTTTGTGGGCCGATGTGGGCCGCAGGTTTGATTCTGACGCCTGCAAACTGGGCCGGCCTGTTTTGGGCATCTGGAATTAGCCGCCAGGTGTAAAGGCCAATTCATTCGGTGTTTTTCCAGCCAAATGCAACTTCAGGTACAACGAAGTTTTTGATTTAGCAACGGCCTCGCTGTGGAAACTTGAATGCGCGGCAGGACATTGCCTCTTCCTTGGACAGGCTTGGTTGTTTCCTGTTGTTTGTTGCTGCGCTGTGTAACTCCATGGTGATTGCGTCTATCCTAGGGCGGGCGGGAGGGCCCATTTTCAATCCGCAAGGGCAGTTCTTTGGTTTTAGTGAAGCCATGTTTCAATAATTCTGTTGCTTGACATGGCCTGTGAAGAATTGATCCCCCCCTTCGAAAACGATGTGGCAGTTTCGGGTCTGAGGCACCGCACCTTGCTGTAGGTTCCCTCTTTGCCCTTGAACGATGGTGGGATGAGGTCTGTTTGTCACTGGGTGGTTTTTTTAACACTGTGCCAGCCCTGCCGGGCCAAAAGCTATTTGTTGACCAAGGGTCAGGTAAATCCTTTTTTGGTGGTTTGGATTAGTGGTTTGGGGAGTTGAACCCCTGGCTTTGTAGGGCAGAAATGGGAAACCCCTCCTCAACCGTTGGCCACGGGATGGGCTTTTAGGAGCCGAACACGAGGAGAGCTGCTGGACGTCGTGCAAAGGGCCCGGCTGTTTCCAGACTCCAAGAGCTTCGTGGATATGCCACTCCGCCACTTCGGCCGACGAATTGTTCGGTGGCCAAACTTTGGGAGACCATTGGGTTACCCAAAAAAGCATCCTCAAATTGGAGTCAAATGGTTCTAGTTCTAGTTTGGTCCTAGTCTACCGAACTAATTAGCGGTTTGAATGACATCACAGAGGAAATTATGCTTGAAGAATTCGAGTTAAATCGTCTAGTCCTAGTTTGCTCCTAATCCTAGTGAGAGATCCCTAGATGGTCCATGTCCTGGTTGAGGGATCCTTCATTCTAGTCCCAGATGGGCAAATCATAGAGAGGACAAAAAGGCTGATCCCTGGGGGTAGCTTTATGTTGTGCATGTGTATATATATATACATAAATAAGTAAATAGGTATCTACATACAAAGCACTCATATATTATATGCATATATGCCTAGACTCGAGCTGTGGGCCAATGGTGGAGGGTGCATTCATGAAACTAAGCTCGGCGCAGCTAGACGTGTGGCTGGTGTCCTGTCTAGGTCAGGAGTAGCTTTAAGCAGTACCAGAGGTGATGCTGGGAATGTTGTTGCTGCATCTCTACTTCTCTGGGGCAAAAGTGGCGAGAGCTCTTGCGTGCCCGGGGTCGAAATAGGTGGATGCCACCCATATTTCCGGTTTGTGAACATAAGGGCGAGGCGCGGGGATTCCCCGAGGCCCAAGGAGAAAGAGAAAGCATATCAGGGGCTGAATGGTTTCGACGGGCGTGCTTCTAGAATCACAACCAAAGCTTTTCAAGTACCTCCAGCGCATTCTAATTATTTAAGGCCCCTAGAGTCATCTGCCCATGGAGCTTTGGGAATCCTTTTGCGTCGATCCTTTTTCCCCGAGCTCGGGTTTCTGAACCCAAAGGTCAGACTTAGGCGTGGATCCGGAAGAGGCGCTGGAAGCCTTTCAGCACGTGAACAAGAGCGACCACCAGGCGCAGAAATCCCAGGGTGTGTCAGTGGCCCGGTTTTTTGGCTCGGCGT